TGTGTGTGTGTGTGTGTGTGTGTGTGTGTGTGTGTGGCTCGATTCAGGCTTTGTGTGATTTGGATGTGTGTGCAGGCTGTTTGCGAGCTGAAAGATGCAAATCTGCACAAAGATTATTCTTAATATTCAGGTGAAGAAAGACTTTTAACTTTTTTGAAAAACTGGTTGAAAAAAAAACTGCTAAAAATTGTTGAAAAAACGATTTTGACACTTTGGGTGAATCTACCTTTTATTAGACTTGCCATATTTTAATACATCCAATGCTGAATCACATCTCTTCTTGCTTTTTTTTGTTGTTATTATTTTCTATTTTTATATCTCGTGGCACAGCGTGACGGTCTCGTCTCAGCCAGCTGGTCTTGGTTTCTGTTCGTCTCATAAGTTTAATCAGTACATTTATGTGTGATCAGCTGCTTGAAATTTCCATTAAAGTCTTTGTTTAATAAAATTGTTGAGAGCCAGAAAGCTTGACAAAGTGCAAGTTTTACTTTGCTTTTGTCAGTCAAACAGCATTTAAACATTGAGGGCTTTGACTTTTCTTGTATTTCTTTTTGTTTCACAATGGCACTTTTGTCATGCTTTATTTTGTCATTATTATAGTTTGTCTTTGGAAACAAACAACACAAAAAGAATGTTTTATTGATATTCATGTACATTACCAAACTGTAGCCAGAGTTTGTTTTTATGGGTGTAAAATAAGAGTGATAGTAAAACAGTTATTGTATAGTTTTGCGAGTGGAAATGAGGTTTGTTTTGTGCACCTCTCAGTGCGTACGGCAATAAAGCTGGATGAAAACTGCTCCGTGTGCTTTCACTGGTGTTTTCCCTGCAGGATTCTCAGGTTTTAAACTTGAACTAAAAACTTGTTTTTCCTACACCATGGGGCCCAGTTTTAAGGAAAATGCAGCCTGGTGGGGACCGAAACATGAATGGAAGTCAATGCACGGGCCCCACACACACACGCTGTCCAACCCACCAAAAGGGCCACCCCTGCCCCCTAAAAAAAAACCTATTATTGTACTTTATTATGAAATTATTTTTATATCAATAGCAAATATTAAATTTGTTATTAAATGCAAAACAAATCATCATTTTAAATGTAAAAGATACTTGTATAATCCCTGAGCTGCTAGATTTGAGTAACTGGTCCTATAAATCATTTAATCAAACAGCTCTGTATTAATGTCAAAATAAGCTGTTTTAAAGCCAGCATTAACCATGAACTCCATCTCCCATAATGCATGTTTATACATGGAAATTCACCACAACAGTGAGTAAAACTTCACTATTTCTGTATTATTTATTGCACATCTTGTCTGTCGTACATGTAGTACTTTTCAGTGTTTATGAGAGAGTGTGTTAAAACACTGTTTCTTTGCAAGAAATACCACGTAGAGCTCTGTTAGTGTTAGCGGTGCTCAACCGTAATGAGATGAGGGATGTTTAGTCAAAGTTAAACATGAAATGTCAAAGTTTATCACAACTGAGGGCCACCATAATGCTCATGTGGCCCTCAGTGACAATGACTTTTGACAGTTGACACCGTTAGGGGCAGCATTGTTGTGGAAATATTGCAAAAATTACAGAAGTCTTTGGCCAGTTACAGGTTGTGTGCAGAATTCATGGAGTCGGGCAGTGAGTGAAGCAGAATTCAGCTTGTGGTGTGCATACTCGTGACAGGAATCCATTATTTTATGCCTCACTTTATCAATTTGCTACATGTTGGAATCATGGTAGTGTGTGTTTAACTGTGAAAACAAGTATTCAATATATCTATCTGCAAATTTTGCAACTCCCTTGCAGACACCATCATTGCAGACCACTGGATTAAATGATTCAATTACATGGAGGAAAAACGAAAACATCAATCCAGGTCACCCATGATTGTGTTCAATGGGCATGATGTCGCATCATATCAATCTCAGACTTCTGTATTGGATCAAAATCGTCTCAACAGACTTTGTGATATTGAGAACTGTGTCGTCATCCAAACAAACCAATAAAGCATNCTCCTGAGGCCTGGCGCGTCTAAAGGGCAGGGTGCCCAAAGGCAGGAGACGCGGCCTCCCTGACAAACACCATCCACCCCCGACACCACGAGCAGCTATAGGACCCACAACCTCGGTCCAGCCCTCATGCATTTCCAAGCCCCGATTTCCCATCTCCACCCTCAGCCCACGAAAGTTGGGTTCGTAACCTGTGCTCGTTCCCCAACGCGGCGGGGCTCATCGGCTCTCAGGTGTTAAATGCCATCCGCACGGATCAAAGGATCTGCCTTTGAGACGTCATTAAGTATGGATTGGCCTTCTCCTGGCTGAGAGGAGAAAGAGTTCGCTCGAAAACAGCGACGAAGACGGGAAACCGCACAAGCAGAAGAAGAATGCCAAAGAGAGAGAAATTGCCGACACATACCTCTCTTCATCCCTCACCGTATTATTCCCTCTCATAGTTCCACGGTCGCGGACGCATTTACATGTGCCGAGGTATTTCCCCCGGGAGCACGACTCTAATTCTGGGGGTAAGATAAGCCATCAAAGTTAGTGACAGAGAGGGCGTACGGGTGACTCGATGACAGACTGAGCGGAAGACGAGTCAGAAAGGCTGCCATGTCTCATGCACACACAAACAAGAGCACAATGGTTTCTGTAGCCCAAGCCACACCTTTACCTCGCTATATCAAGATGTAAGTTAAAGAAGAAAGGTTATTTTGCAGCACTGCCTACACACCGACACACACACATCCTCTCATACAGTGCATTAGGTTTTGCACGTACAATGGCATTTTCTCCCCAACAACTGCTCTTGTTTAGTATGCGCTTCCTTTGGTCTTGAGGAGGAA